CAAAAAGAAAATGTTTAAGGAAATTGCTGCAAATATTTTGCTTGTTAAGTGAAACCCAGTTTCGCAACTGGAGAGACCAAAAACTGCACTCAGCAATGCACTTCAGGCATTTGTGCGCCTTAACCAGGGTCGGGCACTCCACGCGAGACTCATAGAACATCTTCGTCCCCGTCTTCGCCTTGGTCTTCGTCTTGGTCTAGGTCTTGCTGCTCCTTCGTCCTTTTTTCGTATCCTTTGGCAGTTTTGCATTTTGCATAAGCGCTTGGAAATGCCTTTGTCGTTTTAGCAATTTATGCAAATTTCGTGCATTTTCCCCTATGTTGTTACATTCTTTGTATGCAGCATATATGCATGCATGCATGCATATACATTTATGTACATATATAGACGATATTTATAGCAGAGCAACTCCTTTTACATGCCGTATATAGGCTAAAGGCTTCAGCATGCAATTAAAACTAAATTAGTAGGCCTCTGGGCTATGGCCTGTGTGAGTTTTCTGAATTCAGTTTTCTAGTTTACTAATTGAATTATTTAGTTGCGACTCGTTTCATTAAATGCACACGCAAACTTTTACAGCAACGGCGACGGCGACGGCGACTCCAATCAGCTTTGCAACAGGCAATATGAATATATTTAAATATTATATTTTAATGTGACTATATATTTGAATATTTAATATTTACTTTTGGAATCTTTTTCAGAACAATTTTATTTTTTATTTTTATTTATTTTTTTTATTTTTATTTTTTTATTTTATTTTATTTTATTTTTATTTATTTTTTTTTTTTTATATATAATATTATATGTTTAGATAAGTGAAAGGTTATTGTGGAGTTATTCAGAACACTTCACTCTTTTTTATCAAGATCTGGCCTCCCTACTCTTGTTTCTCTCTCTCGCTCTCTCTCACTCTCTCTCTCTCTGTCGCTCTCTCTTTCCTTCTGCAGTAGCTGAGCTGAGTTCAGTTTCTGTTTTAGCAAGGCAACGTGTCTAAAATAACACTCTAACTGTCTTCATTTCATTGTGTGCTGTTGACACATCTGTTTTTATTTTTTACAAATTTCAGTCCAAACGCCTTTTTGTAATATCGCTTTGGCTACAGCATTTCCAAGTCGTTTGCACCCTTATCTTTTTAATTGACATTTAAATGCGTATTTTCTGACACAGTGGCTGTTACATCCGTGTTACCAAAAACACACGCAAGCAGCAATAACGCCCACTCCTGCACCTACCCCTACCCCCAGCCCCTACCCCTCTGTAGTTTGTCATTTATAAACACACAACAACAACACAAAATCAACCTTTTTTTAGGTGTTGAATATTACCGCAGGGCGCAACAGTCACACGACCGCAAACCCCAAACCCGCTCGCTCCTTGGTCAAGCCAAGAAATGTAAACAACGAAACGGATCAGAAAAAAAAAAAATTCCACGCTTCGGCAAGTTTTGGGCCACCCCAAAATATAAGAGCCACCCACATGCGACATTTAACCCTCAGAATGTGCGCATTGAACACATTTTGGCTGAACTTCCAGTTTCATTTGTCCTTTCGTTTATTTTTATTTTATTTTATTTTATTTTTGTTTTGCTTGCGTGTTGATTTTCGGTATCCAGCCATAAGTGCCACGCCTGCCCGCCCCCAGAATTTTTTTGTTATATATATATTCATTGCTAAAATAACATTGACATGCGTCTTGCTCGGCCAACCCTCCGGCCAGCCACATGCCACATGCCGCATGCCACATGCAACACGTTCGCGTCGCTCGATTCCGAACTCAGGGTTCGAATCGCAGTTTCCTGCTTGGTCCTTGCCCTGTTCGACCCAGCCCCATGCCAATTCGATTTACAGCGTCGACTTTGTGCAACGTCTGCTGCATGACATGCAACTCTTGCCTCGAGCTGTAAATTTGTTGCTGTTGTTGCGTTTGTTGTTGTCATGTTGCAATCAACAGCAGCAGCAGCAGAAGCAGCAACAGCAGCAGCAACACAAACAACAAGCAACAATCCTTATTTAATAACGTTTCAATATTCCAACACTCTCTGACATATCAATTTTCAAAACCCGCTTACAGCAACAGTTACAGCTGCAGATACATCTGTGTATCTATAAGATATAAATGTATCTATGGCTACAAAAGTTTTGCTGTTGCTGCTGCTGTTGCTCTTGAGGTGTTGTGCGTGTGTGACAGCAAATTGTTGATATATACGACACGAAAATTGAAATTTATGTTTTTGCAACTGACTATTGCTTATGGCCGAGCATAACGAACTTCAATAAAATATAAACTTTCTTTTGCTTTTCCTCGACTTGCCTTGAAAGCACTTTAAAGATCTCCATTTTGGCTTATGAGAAATTAATCAGCTTTGAGCGGGATATTCTTTGTTTAACTCGGGTCTAATACGATTTGCTATTGATTTATTTAAATAAAATATTGACAGGGCGAAGACCCAAATTGCAACTGCTTAATTTTTGTAACTTAGTTTTAATCTGGCATTAATTGTAAACTCTAATAAATTAAATATTTAAATGGTAAATAGCTGGGCATAGCTATAAACCCATAGAGCTTTGAATATGATGCGAATCTAACAGAATTATTCTGTGTATTTTATATTCCATTGCCTTGAATAATTTCAGTATAGATTAAATGACTTAAAAAATACATTAAAAAAAAAAAAAAAAAAAAAAAAAAAAACAATATTAAATTTGAAATATTTATAATTAATTATATATTTTATATACAACAATATTAAATATGAAATTTTTATAATGAATTATATATTTTAGATATTTCTATGAGTTTTAAATACATTCAATATTTACATATAAAATTGAAGAATATTTTAATTTTAAATACAAATACTTAAATACTTTGCACAATAATCTACCCTAACGTCTTAAAAAAATACACATCAAAGATTTAAGCATTTCAAAATGAAATAAATAATATATAGCATACATCTAAAACCTATCGAACCTAAACGAAATTTGCATTATTGACTCGTTTAACTGTTTCCATAATATATTATTCAACATTATTATTACTATTCCCAATTGCAATTTCAAATGAATAGACAAAAAGGCAATGTTTTTATTACAGATAGTATTTATTCAGGCTGTCGCTGCAAATCAAACACAGGCTTTATTTATTTGCCTTTGTCAGAGCGTGAAGCAGTCAGCTGGAACTATGCTAATCCTTTGCTTAGCTCAGTTATCTCTTTCTCTCTCTCTCTCTCTTGCTCTATCTCACTGTATCTCTTTTGCCCTCTTCAGGTTAATTTAGCAGTTTTTGCATAAACAAAAAACTACTTAACTGCTAAGCTGAGCTGGGCTCTATGCGGTTCTTCTTCTTTGCCGCATATGCAAATCCACACAAATTAATTCCGAAATGAACCTTTGAACAGGTTTCTCCTCCTGCAACTGCTCGTCCTTCTCCTCCTCCTCCTGCTGCTGCTGCCGCACTGCGACAGTTGAATTGCAACTGCAACTTCATTTGCAACGTCAACGGCAATGCGCATTAACATTGTTTTCATTTTGCCAGCGAGATCTTTTAACATTTGCCAAACCGCTGACGAGCACAACTCTCGACTCTGTCGACTCTGCCGACTCTGACGCAGCGGAAAAAGGAAATGCCCCGCCCACCCACAGGCAGCGGCTCTGTGTCCCTTGCAATTTGTATAAAAAGCGCTTTATCCTCTTCATTGCTCAGTCCAATAGCTCATCTACCTCTTCGCATCTCATCTCTGCTCTTCTCTTCTCTTCCCTTTCATCTCAGGCTCACATCCGCCGCGAATAGTGGAACACCCCATAGATACGACCGTGCCGCGACACGAACCCGCAACGCTTAATTGCAAGGCAGAGGGCTCGCCCACGCCCACAATTCAGTGGTACAAGGATGGCGTACCACTCAAGATACTGCCGGGATCGCACCGCATCACCCTGCCGGCGGGCGGATTGTTTTTCCTCAAGGTAAGTTCTGTCCCAGCGATGCAAATTATGCGACAGTCTGAATGGAGTTGCTCTCACGGGAGTGGGAGACTCCTGCTGGAGTAAAAGATTACAATGAAGATGTTTAGCTAACATTATTTTCGAAATATATACAGATAATATAAGTAATGGGATGACAATGAAAATATTTTTAATTAATGCTATATAAATGAAATATGTTTTATAAGACTCTTGCTATTTAAATAAATGAAGTTGGCCTCAAGATAATGAAAATATTATAAAGGAATGCCATAAATATTCTTATCTATTTATTTATATTATTTTTTTTATTTTTATTTATTTATTTTTCTTATTTATTATTTTATTGCATTTATTTATATTTACTATTTATTTTTCATTTATTTTGTATTTTTTTATTTTTTTTTTTTTTTATTATTTGAGAACTTCTGTATAAAAGTAAAAACTCTTGCTGAAATTAAGATGTAAACTCAACGTTAATTTATTTTTTTTTTTTTAATCCTTTTCCTTCTATAAGAAATATGAACAGATAATATGAATATGATAATTTTGAAATTAATATTATGAATAATAAAAAAGTGTAAATGAATAAGATTTCAAAAAATTAAATTGATCTCAAGAAAGGAAAAATTCTTTGCTAAATATAAAAACTCAGCGCTAAAACATTAAAATTTTGGAAATACAATTAATTAGATATTACAAAATATTTTTTTATTTTTTATTTTTTTATTTAACTAGAATGGTTAACAAAGCTTTTTCGTTAAGTGAACGATCTTATATATTTTCTCATTGAAAACTTAGCAGAACTTCAGTTTAGTCAAATTAATTAACTTTTAGCTTGTTCTTACTTTATTTTAATACTTGTTCTGCTTCATAATTTTATAATTTAATCGAAAAGCCGAAACAAATCCATATATAGTATAAATATTTTACCTTCAGTTGAGCTTAATCTCAATTTGCACAGTTTCAATATGGAACGAATGTAATTAGGAATGAATAATCGATCAACGATGGATTCTTACTGTTTGACAAAGTAAATTTACTTCAGTTTTCGCAGAATGGTCAAGATATCGCATTCGTTGTTCGGGATTGTCTTTATGGCACTGGCTGCCAGGGAATTGATTCATGGCGAATCAATAAATTTAAAACTTATTAAAGCCGTACTTAAGGACAATCTTGGAGGCAATGCCGCCTTTTCGCCTCGAATCTTGATAGACACCATGAAAGGATTTGCTGATATTTCCGGCGGGAACACAGTTGCAGAAATTAAGAATGTTATGCTGTTTAAAAGTAGCAACCTGCTACGTGGCAGTAATTACAGTTATACGAATCTTAGATTGACGGACTATACTGACGAACTAAAAGACGATATAACTTACGAATATAAAGAAACCTCCAATGGGACTCTTAGATTGACGGACTATACTGACGAACTAAAAGACGATATAACTTACGAATATAAAGAAACCTCCAATAGGAGTCTTGGATTGACAGACTATACTGACGAACTAAAAGACGATATAACTTACGAATATAAAGAAACATCCAATAGGAGTCTTGGATTGACAGACTATACTGACGAACTAAAAGACGATATAACTTACGAATATAAAGAAACCTCCAATGGGACTCTTAGATTGACGGACTACACTGACGAACTAAAAGACGATATAACTTACGAATATAAAGAAACCTCCAATAGGAATCTTGGATTGACGGACTATACTGACGAACTAAATGACGATATAACCTACGAATATAAAGAAACCTCCAATGGGACTCTTAGATTGACGGACTATACTGACGAACTAAAAGACGATATAACTTACGAATATAAAGAAACCTCCAATGAGAATCTTAGATTGACGGACTATACTGACGAACTAAAAGACGATATAACTTACGAATATAAAGAAACCTCCAATAGGAATCTTAGATTGACGGACTATACTGACGAACTAAAAGACGATATAACTTACGAATATAAAGAAACCTCCCATAGGAATCTTGGATTGACGGACTATACTGACAAACTAAGTGCCGAAATAACTGACGAATTTGACACGCCTAGAGAACTAACTGACGAAATAAATGAAGAAGTAACTAACAAATTCGACTATACAGTCGAGTCTGACCAATTTGGTGATTTGGATGAAACTGAGTCTCGTGCTATGTCAGACGTTACTCCCATTAACTCAGCTATATTTGCCTCTAAAGAAGTTCTACCTGCTCTGGGAAATACGGCGCAAGAAGTTAACTTTAACGACCCCCAAAATGCTTTACAAACTATCAATGATTGGGTAGCACAGCAAACTAAACGCAAAATAAAGAATTTCATCGATAGAATTGAAGCAAACATGAAAATGATCTTGATCTCTACGGCCTCCTATGAAGTAGAGTGGAAATATAAATTCAATCCCAAATTGACGAAGAAGGAGAGCTTCTATACGAGCCTAACTCAAACTATTCCCGTCGATATGATGAGCATAAGCGGTAGATTTTATCGCAGATATATCAAAAGTATAGACGCCGACGTCTTACAACTGCCATTTGCAAAAAAAGAAATTAAAATGACAATTCTATTGCCGAGGAAAATAAATGGCATAGACAAGCTTCTTGAGAGTTTGACGACGCTCGAGCTGAAAAATCTAAAGTTTAGTGGAAAGCCAACCAAACTAATCGATGTTAAATTGCCCAAATTCAAAGTAGACTTTAAAGTTGATCTGAAGAAATCGATGCAGGGCCTGGGCGTTCACGATTTGTTCAGCAATGCGAATTTTCCAAATATAACCAATCACGGTGTAATGAAAGTGAATGCTATAGTACAAAACGTCGCAGTGGAAGTATCTGAACGTGGCGCCTTGTTTGCGTTTGCTGCAAGTTTGTATTTCGAATAGTAGCCTCCAACCTCCAACCAATTCAATGAAATATTTATATTTTACGTTCTAGGAGCACCCTCGTCAACTCCAAAATTTGTAGTGGACCATCCATTTGTGTTTCTCATCCGCCGAGGCAACGATGTCTTTTTCGCAGGACGTGTCAACTTTGCCGATAACTAGGAAATTGTCGAAATAATATCGGGAGCAGTTACTGAAGCCCACTGATAGCTTTGCCTTTGCTCCCAGAACATTTCAGCAACTGTTCAACCCATCAACCCGAATAGCTGATCGATTATTTAGCTTTAGAGTTGTTGATTAAATCGGATTGATACAGTGCGTGTTTATTTTGATACTTTAGTCATCATGCCTAAAATGCTTGCGATAAGGATTCATTATTAATTAACCATACTCTAATTTCTTTTCTATCGATAATAATCGATAATCAGACAACATTTATTAAGCGTACAGCTGGCACTCCTTTAGTCATCATGCCTAAAATTCTTATTATAAGGATTGTTTATTACTTAATACCAACGAAGAACGAATTTACTCTAACTCCTTTTCTATCGATAATAATCGATAACATAATAATTGATAACATTTAATAAGCATGCAGCGAGCAGCCTTGAGTAGAAGACCTCTACTTGGTTAAACTGAAAATTAAAAATATTTATTTTTTATATAAATAGTAAATATATCAAACAGAGTAAGATAGAAGCAGAGAGAGAGAGAGAGAGAGAGAGAGAGAGTGACCGAATCAGTTGAGCTGGTGCTTATGAATGATTCGCCCATTGTTTACAGTAAAGAGTGGGCGCTTCGAATTGCCCAGCTCGCCAGACACACCTCTGTCCATAATAATATGCCCGGAAATTCCTTTCAAGCAGAGCTCAGCGTTAGGTCCTTTTGTATCCTTTTGCGCTAGAGCCAAATGAAACGAGCCTGTGGCACATTTACTTCATTTCGCTGCTTCGCTTGCGTATTATTATTTCTGTTATTTTTCTGCGCTTTACTTTTATGATGATTATTATTATTTTTTTTTTTTGCCCGCTCCCTCTCTCTTAGTCTTTGCTTGCATAATTATTATTTTTGCTGTCTCCGCGCTTTCATTCATATCTCATGAAAGGTCGAGGCAGCTGCTCGCGCTGGTTTGCTGTTTAAAAATTTTCATTTTGCCAGCTGTTGAGTGATGAACAAACTAATTGCTTTTATTTTTTCACATTTTATACACATCTGTGTGTGTGTGTGCGTGTGAGTGCACGTGTAGCTGTGCGAAAATATTTTTGCAAGCATTTCGCTGGGGCGGCCAACAACTTCATTAACGTAAGGTAAACAAACATTAAGAGGGACTCCCAAGGAGTTGGCTCGAATGGGAGATAGGAGCAGTCGAAGCCAACAGCAGACGCAGCCAGACAAATAAAGACAAACGGAAGCCAGTCCGGGCCCGGCTGGCAACGCAGCAAAAGTCAGAACGGAGCAGAGCCTGATGAGCTGCCAGCTAAGTGTGTGTGAGTGAGTGTGTGTAAGCCTGACTGTATCTCTCTCTGTGTGTGTGTGTGCCGTGGCAGGCACTTGGACTGAGCACTCAGCAATTTACGACGCAAAAAGCCAACGGCGCGCGCGTTGATTATGCTGATGATGCATTTGGAGCCGGAGCTGCCGCTGCCGCTGCTGTGGCCAGGACATTTGGGTGCGCTGGGTCCTGGCAGGCAGCAGCTACCCTCAACTCAACTGCCAGCTGCACTTGCTGCCTGCCACTTTTCACACTCGATCTGGCTGGCATTCGCATTCACATTCGCATTCGCATTTGTGTTTGTCTATTTGTTTATCACTTAAGTGCAAAAAAGGATTCGGGATGCAGGATTGCAGCAATCAGACGCTCTTCCGCTTTCTAAATGTTGCTGCTGCTGCTGCCACTGCTGCTATTTATTTGCGCTCGCTTTTAAATGAATTAATTCCAAAGCAGCCTCCCGTCTCGGCTTGCCTCACTCCATCCTGTCGTCCACACGTTGGCCACATTCTATTTGGCCTCGACATTTTCGGCATATTTCTGTGCAGCAGGCTGAGACTTGTTGATTATCGAACATTTCGGGCGGGCAGGTGAATGCAATTTATTTAATTTGCGACAAAGCTCGAAAGGCTTTTAATTAAAGAGCTTAAAAGGTATTAAATAGAATAGTTAGTTTTGTACAATAGGAAAATGCTTTCATTTAAGTTAAATATTAAGCTGGATAATCTGCTTAATTTAATACAATTTTTTCTTATATTTATAAATATATTTAAGCTGTGACTTGAATCCTAAATACAATTTCTTAAGTATTTGTATTCAAGTTTAAGTTTAAGAACGAGTAAAGTTTTTAGTCAACGACCTATCGCAAGTCTTATATGGGTATATAGTATAGTAAGTTAACTTCAGTTCCTCAGCTCTTCTTCTAAGAACTGTTCGCCCAGCAATATTTTTACTCAATACCAACGAAATAATATTTAATTTTAGTTTGTATAATTTTGCTAGTCTTAAATTCCATTTTTGCTTTGTTCAGCTCGACTTGTGGAACTGACCCTTTGCGGGTGATATAAATTTTTTCCGTTTCGAGTTAATCCTCGACTTTTTGCAGTGCACAAAGGAATTGTCCATAAACTAATCCACATAAATTCACAGGGAGCTTCATTTTGAAATTTAAGCCAAGCATTTTATTTCTTTTGTTATTTCAGCTTAGTCTATTTTCCTTTATTTTTTTAGAGTCCTTTTGCCATTTTTCTATGTCACTTGCATAATTTACATTCTAATTCCACCGGCTTTTCGCTCCCTATCTCTCTCTCTCTCCATCGTTCTCCATCGTTCTCCCTCGCTCTCTCTTGCTCTGACAATGCCAGCTCGTTCTATCTCGCTTTCAATCATTCTCTGTTTCTGTTAAGTTTGGAACAAGTCATCTTGCTTATAATGCGAGCGAAGCTCCTACTTTGCCCGGGCATTATTATAACGAGGGGCGCCCTAGACCCGAAAATGATAGTCCCAAAACTATGCAGCACTATCAAATTACGGCAGAGCGAGAGGGAGAGAGGAAGCGGGAGTGGGAGTGGCAGTGAGTCAAGATGCTGTTGCTTTAATGTGGCACAAAAGTTGGCTACAATAACGTCTTTAAGTAACAAAAGCAGACAAGCGAATGGGGAATATGCAATAAAATACAAGAAGACACAAGCGTATACATGTATAAGAGTGTATGTGTGAGGGAAAGGCGCGCTCGACAAAATATATAAAAGCTGAAGTGTAGTGAAAAGTGACAGTGGAAGAGCGAGCAACAGGGAGACAGACAATAATTTACGTAACAGCACGAAAAAGAGAAGGAAAAAAGAAGCTGAACAGAACACAAGCACCAGTCAGACATTCAGACATGGGCGTACAGCAAGGGGGGCGTGGCGTACACATGATGATTTGTAGCAACTATGCTTTGCTTTTGCCTGCCTCATCAGCAACAACAACAACAGCAGCAGCAGCAGCAGCAGCTGAAGAGCCAGCAGCTTGCTCTCTGTTTTTCGGGCATATTTGTGGATCTGTCTGGCTGAGTCGAGTGTTTTCCATGTAAAGCGTTCGTTGCCATCTAAATGTTGATTTAAACGCTGAAGTAGTTTTGCGGCCAGCTTTAAAATGCAATCAACAATTCGAAGCAAGCTCAGCGCATAAATCAAACCGAATTTGATTGCAGTTCTCACTGAATTTACTGCGCCTCACTCGGGCTCAATTAGAAAACCTGCTCGAGGCAGGTTAGCGAAATATTACTGCCTGGGGCGGCAGCTGCTCCACTTGCCACATAACTTTCAACTGGCGGCGCGTGGAGCACATTTTAATGAGTTTACAAACGCTTGACACATTCGCGGCTACATAAAAATAAGGCACGGCCCACGCTGCGTATGCTTTATATATACAAATTTATGTATGCTTTGTATGTACATTACATGTATGTCTTTTTTATGTACGTAGCTCGCTTATTAACTGTGTAGGAAGTGCGGCAGGCTGTTAGCTGCTTTGAGAGCCGTTTAATGAACGACTTAACAGTTGGCAGCAAGTCAAGTAGCCATGCGAGTTGTTGGTAGTAAAGAAAAAGATGGCCAACATACCAAGGCGCATACGTATGAAAAGCAGCTTGGCATAATGTTTGATTTATGGACAGCTTGTGGGGCAGAGAGGCTGCCTGAATCAGCAGTAGTTAGCCAAGCCAAGTTATTATAGTAATATCATGGATGTAAGTAAAGGAAGGCATTCTTAGAAGAGGAACTCATAGTTTTCGCAATGTAACAAGACTTCATAAGAGAGAGAATACATATAGTATACATGTATATCAAAATATGTAGTTGAGGATATTTAGAGGAATATATATATGAAGATATACAAGAGGATAGATATATAGCAGAAAATATCGGAAAAATTGAAATGAGTATATAGGACAGCATAAATATAGAAGAAAACGTATTTGAGAATAAATAGAAGAAGAAAATAAAATGAATAAATTGATATAAATTAATAAAGCACCAAATACAGGAGAATATTTACAGCTAAGCATAAGACATATAACTATACTATACTACTACTTACTACTTACTACTATACTTACTATATTCTACGTCTATATCATAAGGACATGTAATATAGAAACCTACCCAATCATCTATTAGTTTCTGCTTGCATAAAGAATTGAAAAAAAAAAAAAAAATTGAAAGCCTTTCTAAAGTTGTATAATCACTGATTTAATTTAATAAAAAAATATATCAAATAAACAAAATAAATAAATGTCAAATTTCCACACATGCAGAACTCTCTCTAAAGCTGTTCACTACATTCTTTATAAACGTATTTAGTTTCTAAAATTGATTATGTCCACTTTTTCAATCTCTAATTTCATTTTTCATCAGCTAATTATATACTATGCATACATATATATATACATATACATATACCTGTTGCTATCAACACAGCAACGTCTGCTCTCTCACACTCGCTTGAAGTGCCGCTCTCTCTCTCCTCTCTCTCTCTCTCTCCTCTCTCTGTTATATACCAGTTGATGGCTGACAGTTAAACAATTTTGCTGACTGGCTCGATTTCAGGCTCAATTAAAAACATTTACACGCCACATTTTACCGACTTTAAATTTAAGCAATATTATAAAACACACACAAACACTCACACACACTTTTTATCTTTATCTACACTTTCTCTGTCTATCTGTTGCCCTCTCTCGCTATCTCTCTATCTCCTTCTCACTCTCTCTCCCAATTACAAAATGTAACAACATGAAAACGAAATGGCTCCCAAATGAAATGTTGTAAATTTATGGGTATTTTAA